GTTTAGTCTGGCACAAGGTCTGAATATTGGAGTATTCAGTTCAGACTTGGTGTCATGCTGTGGATCTGCCATTATCTTCAACTCATCTCCTTTATTCTATCCTTCCACGTGTTGTTACTTAAATTACAGGACAAAGGTTTAGCTTTGTAGCTGAAGCACCAGGGAATTATGGAACCACTTGGATATGCAGAAACTGGAAGAAAACTTTTATCAAACTGCATAACAATACACAAAAACAACTGAAATTAGCAAAAACTATTTATTCTATATTTTGGTTCCTATTCAGTTGATCCATTATGTCAGTGATGGGAAGTGGAGGTGACCAGTTGCATGTTTAACTCTAAGGATGGCTTTTGATGCTAGGGTCATGAGTGTTTGAACAGGCAAGGATCAACTCTCTGTCGATATCCAAGCTTTGTTGCATTTTTATAAAAAAAAAAAAAAAAAAAAAAAATATAGAGGAAGTGAGAAATTTACATACTGCTTTGATCTCCTAACAAATTGATCAAGGATAGCAAATTCAAATTGAACAATTCAATACTTTTTTTTTTTTTTATAAACAATTCACAGCGAGAAAGGCAACAGTGCCACTAAGATTCAATGGGCTACTGGGAAAGAAAGCAATTTTGAGCTACGGATGTCACAGGGACATTTTATAATTTTTCCTTTATAGAACACAGTTCTAATAACAGGTTTAGTTCCTTTTTGAATATGCTTCTTAGAAGGCAGCCAAAAATCAATTTCCCTTCTGAGTCCTTATTCTGCCAACTGAATGAAATCTTTGTGTCAGTTCATCTTCTTTGGTTCTTCTTTGATCTTACTTTGAAATTTGAAAACCTTCTTCAGCAGCCATTATGCTCTGTCCCTTTGTGCAATGTATCATTCAACTTCCAAAGCTTATCTGTTGGCCCTTCTTTTTTTTTTATAAGAATCAAAAGGGGTTCCAGACAAACTTTAACTTTTCATTTGCTAATAAATAGAAATTGTACATATTTCTTTTAATTTTTAAATGAAATTAAACATTACAGCTTGACCAAAATAATTTTAGTGGTTCTTAAACTGTCAATTCCAAAAATGAAAAATTTTACACACAAATTGTTGTAACCTAAGGAAGGTCACTGAATAGAATAATCACACAAAGGTTGGTAATGCACGATAATACTTAGGACATGAACAACACATATAAGATTCGCCAGCAGTGTGTAGAAGAAGTAGTCAACTGCTAGAAGTGAGTCAAGTGAATTCCACAATGAATCTCTAACTGCAGACCCACAGTCCAAAACATATAGTATTATTTTATGCTTTCAAGTACAGATATTTTGTATATAATTTTATACTTTCAGGGTAAAGGTATGTTTTTTAGATATATAATTAGTAGATCATAAAATGTATTGTTGGTAATTTTATTATAAAAATGTACTGTTGATTTCTCTTTGGCAGTGGGGTGGGTAACTATTTGCCTGTAGCAGGGATCCTAACAGACATCTAGCCATAACAACCACACCAGCTTTGCTTTGGATGAAATGAAAAAGAAAATATATATATTATAAATTAACTGATTTAAAATATAGTTTCTTTGCCTCATGTATGCACAAAGGACATGGGTCATTTAATGAACTACATATTCTAGCTTTTCTTATTAATTTCCAATTTACTGTAGGTGTAAAGAAAAACAATAAACCAGCAATTAAGAGGTAGTTCCATGCTCCTCAAAACCTCCTTATCAGAGGCCTTGCTGCTGGACGTAGTTTATTGTCTTACCCTGGACGCAGATGTAGTTTATCATCATACCCAAGATGCCAGGTTTAGTACGATGGTTCGAACTAACACAAAACTGGTACACTACACAAAGCTATTCATCCATGAGTGTATCACCTACAGAACTTTAGATGATGATGATTGCATCAACAGGAATAATTGATTTAGGATAATGCATGGTATGGTGGAATTATTAACAGGTTTATCTGTTTGACTATAAATGCTGAATAGGGACTTCAGTCCACAGAAAATCAATCAAAAATCCAAGAAAACACAACCATTTTGTTTTAGTATTTATCTCAAATTTTTACCCACCTATTAATAAAATAAACTGACACCATTTTACCTATTTTAATGAAAATAAATGTTTCATCAAGTCAGCAATTGCTGCGACTTGTTCATATGAAATGCTGAAATGAACAAGAAGAGTAACAGATATAGTACACTACACAAATGTTGCCAAATAGAATTTTTGAAAGTTGGAAATCAAGGATCTCACAAAAACATCACGTTCACTTCACTCACCCTTTTATCCACCCACCCTCCAAACTTGTCTTTCACGAGACACTTACCAGTACTGATGGGAAATTCTGGAAGCTCAGAATAAGGAAAACAAATTTTATCTGTGACCATATCAGCTAGTCCTCCAAGACCAGAACCACAGATGATCCCTAAGGTTGGTTCAGCTTCCAATTTCTGTTTCATCAAGTCAGCAATTGCTGCGACTTGTTCATATGAAATGCTGAAATGAACAAGAAGAGTAACAGATATAGTGCACTACACAAATGTTGCCAAATAGAATTTTTGAAAGTTGGAAATCAAGGATCTCACAAAGACATCACGTTCGCTTCACTCACTCACCAGTTTTACTAAGCCTCGTTAAGGAGGCTTGCTAAACCCAGGGCAGAAAAATCAGTATTTCTTAAAGTAGTCTACTCAACTCATGATTTACATTGGCTACGAGTGAAATGGATTTACATGTTCTTTAAAGTAGTTTATTCAATTCTATGATGCTTTTTTTTTTCAATCAATTCATACCAAGCAATGCAATAATGCCACTAAGGCACAAGGGGCTATTGGGAGTGAAAGAGAATGAGAAAATTTTAGAAGGAACTGGAAACCCAATATTAAACAGGAAACAAGGGATAAACCCCCACTCCTGTTCAGAAGACTGGAGAGGAGTGTGATCCAGGTAATAGGCAAACCTATCTACTCCTATTGAGGAGTAAAGTTAAAAAATAATAGGTAAATGAAGTTTCAGGGATTTTATGTGGAGATGTCAGAAATATAGAATTGAAGTAGTCTTTAGAAGGAACTGGAAACCTAGTCCTAAACATGTAACAATGAGCAAATCTCTCCTTCTGTTCAAAAGACTGGGAAGGAGTATGAACTGGACAATAGGCAAACCTAACTACTCCCATTGAGAAAGAAATAAAATCTTGCACCGCGATCGGCCAAGAATGAAATGGATTTGCATGTTTGCTGACCTCCTTCAGCAGAAAGGATATTTTTTTCTTTTTACAAAAACCGCATATGACAATAGCACTTTATAGGTGTTGTATCCTTAAAGAGATTTACAGACAAAGGTGGTACTCGAGTGAAGGAACAGCAACACATGTGTAGATGAAAGAAAAGAGGTTTATTGTAAAATAGAATACACTACTGAAAGACAAGAAAATTGGGTGGCAGGCTAGTAATTCCTGAAGCAAGCCCCCAGATATATCCTGTGCTCACTATATATAGCTACTGATATAGTCAGTCCAGATAGGCGATAGGGAGTGTGGGGCATTCCATTACAACAATAGCATATTGCCATTTTCTCTTGTCCATCTTCCACAGAGAATTACACCTTTATTGTTCTGAATGGATATATTTAATACATTATTTGCCAATTTAAATGACTGTACATAAAAGAGTCATTAACATCCACTCTTTTATGAAAGGTGAAGAAGGAAATAGCCAAGACATCGAAACATCATGAATACAATGTACAAACAAAATTTGAAATTCTTATCGACTATTATCAATTTTAACTAGTAATTGCTTTCATCTTCATTTACATTATATAAAACATTGTCAATTATTATTATTATCAATTATCATTATTATTATTATCAATTATCAATTATTATTATTATTATCATTATTATTATCAATTATCAATTATTATTATCATTATTATTATTATCATTATTATCAATTATCAATTATTATCAACCTTTAATATAGTTAAATCTAGATAAATATTATAATTGATTTTTATGGTTTCTTTAATATGGCTTCCAAAAATAAAAATAGAAATATTGAGGACAACAATTAAAAAGCTATTTACATTATTCATACTAGTGTCCTCATCTTTGTTGCCATATTTATCACAATGTTTCAGTCGTCGTATGCTCTGGCCTTATTCAGGTGGTTAGAATGTCGAACTGAACCCTATATTTCAGTTGCTGGGGTAGACTGTTCTAGTTCCACATGCCATATCTAATGGATGTCAGTTAACTCCCCTCTCCAAGTTCTCCACTGCCTTAACCAGGTATTGATATCACACTCTTTGGGTCCTGTCATTGGATCTAACTAACACCTTTTACCCACTGTGCCATGTGTGTTTGAGAAACATCTGTGTATGAATTTCTCTCATACATGTGCTAACCGTATTCGGAAATTAAAAACATCACTACAATACACACATAATGCACACACTCAACTAAGCTGAAAAATTGAATCATCCTTGTCCAGAAAAGAAAACTCTTGTTTGAACACAAGAGAAATTAAATAAAAAGCTTAACCGTAGTACCTTGAGAGATATGTTATTATAAATTTTATCTTTAGTGGGCACATGTGTTTGAGTTGCTATCCCAGTTTTTTGGGTTTTTTTCTTTCAAATAGTAGAAGTAAAAACAGCTGACCCAGATCAAGTATTTTTCTGAAGTATGGGCTTCCTGGTTAAGACGTATTATTAATTTCAATGTTTAAGACAAGAAAAAAAAGAAAAGAAAAAAAGCAGGGATAACAACACACACACGTGGACCCACAAAAAAAGTAACATTTAGTAATAAGAAATAATGCTGGATTAAAAAAAAATCCACATAAACACATATATATGGTGGCTGATGACTCACGAAGTGAGTATGACCATCACTGACATGTCCAGCCCTTCAGTTAATATATATATATATATGTTAGGCCCTTTAGTAGCTGTTGCCACCATAATAGTAACAATATGGAGACTGAAAAATGCATAGGAAGAAGTCAGTTAATCTACAGGTTTTGGCAATTGTCCAAGAGAACGATTCCACACAACACATATATATGGTGGCTGTTGACTCACAAAGCGAGTATGACCATCACTGACATGTCCAGCCCTTTCAGTTAGTAAATATATATATATATATATATATATATATATATATATATATATATATATATATATATATACATGGTAATTGTCCAAGTTGTTACAATCTATAATATTAAGGAATGAAATTCATAAGATAGCAATAAAAAAAAAAATGGTTATATATGCTTGAATTGTTTAAGGGAGATAAAGATGGGAATAAAGAGAAATTGACAAATACAGTATTATCACAAACTGAGTCTGGGCAGTTGCTACATAGAACCAGAGTATGCAGTGGGGTGGGGGGCTTTAAGTCTACTAGAACAATAAAGATATAAACCCCATTGTCTTTGATAGAGTTACCCTTGGGATGTTCAGCATTTGGAGTATTTATCTCCTCTCCCCACCCCCATATTATCAGACTGAAGAAAAATATGAAGAAAAAGATTTATTTGTGAGGTTTATTGAAACAGGCCTGAGTAACTGGACAGAATTATGGGAATCAGTGGTAGAGAAATTCCCTGAAGTTACATTAAAGGAGGTGCCAAAGAGAAAATAAGTCGGGGCCAATTGAAAGACAAAATGAGTATTATGGGACAATACAGTACAATTTGGAGAAATAATTCAGGCACTATAATGAATTGGTCTGCTATGTTAGGCCCATTAGTAGCTGTTGCCACCATAATAGTAACAATATGGAGACTGAAAAATGCAAAGGAAGAAATCAGTTAATCTGCAGGTTTTGGCAATTGTCCAAGAGAATGAGAGAGGGACATTTTTGGTTAATTTTTTTTTCTTTTTTCACCTGGAGTTGTATGTAATACAAGTAAATGACAAAAAGGGAAGGGAATGGTGTGACACTGAGGCTGTGAGGTGATTAAAACATTGATTCTGAGCAGAAAAGGTTTGAGCCCAAAAGGAAATATAAACTGGAAGGTATAAAGAGAGAATGGAAGACATTTTCCCTGGTAGTGTGGAAGTGAAGAAAAGATCATCTGGACTGATTCAACAGTGCACCATGAGTTTATTTTTCTTATGTATCAAGAGTCTGGCATGCAGACGAAAACAAATTTGGAGAACAATTTTACCTCTTCTTTGAAAATTTAGATAATTTATATTTTTGTTGATGAAAACAAAAACAAGGAATGAGAGAGAGAGAGTGGATACATTTTCCTTGGTGAGAATGGGATCGTCTGGATTTCTTCTCTTCTAAGGTTTATTTTTCTTATCTATCAGAAATTTGGCATGCAGGTAAAACAAATTGGGAAATAAGTCTATCTCTTTCTTGAGAAATTATTAATGAGAGGAGAAGCAGATGAGAATTACGTTTTCCTTGATGTAAACAAAAAGAAAGAACAAACCCTTTTTCTTAGGGTTGAGGTCATGAAGATCAATCATGTTGTGCCAAGAAGGTGATCTGGTTTGTACAAAAGGAGTCAGAGTATTGAAATTAATGAGGAGAACAAACTATGCCCTTTCTCCTATCACTTTAAAAATTAAATTCGTCCCAGTTATGTCACCCTGAGAAGTGGGCAGAGTTAGAATACTGAGAAGGAAGGAGGATGGGGCCGAGTTTAGCCCAACCAGTGCGGAGTAGCGGTATGAGATGTGAAGTGAAACAAATTGGAGTTAAGGAAGATGGATAATTTCCCAAATTTGGAAAGTCGATTAAGAAAGCAGAAATAGGGAACAAAGAAAGTGTTTATTGGAATTAATGACAATTGGGGAATCTCTAAACCCCCAGAATCCTTTATCCCCACACCAGTTTTAGGCCGAAGGGCATATAAGCAGATGTCTTTGGGAAGCTCACAGACTTGGGCTGAGAAGCCGCATTGAGTGCCTCTGAAATATATGTCAGCTGCCACCAGAATTCCTGATTCCAAGACTTTGAACCCAGCCTTCCAGAAGTTTAGACAAGGCCCTGTATCACTATGGAATTTGATGCTGCAAGGGTTAATTTTTGCTGTATCAAGAACTATATAAACCAATTGAAGATTAACCCCATTAATGAAGATATTTTTCTTTCTTAATATAGCACCCACCAGCACTGCCATTATGACGGAATTCAATCTTCCACAGTTCTGAGATAACACTATGTGGGCAGAGATGATGTGGATTAAAGTGGCCAGCCACCAACAACCAACTTGGACCCCCGCCAGCATTGACCAGTGCAGAGTTAGCCCATGGTTAAAGCATTGTCCTAAGACTGATGACCAGACCACTATGTGTGGTTATATCACTGGGTGTAGGTGGTGGCAAAAAGTGTTACAGTCTAACCTTATTGAAAAGCAAATTATCCAACTGAATAAATATATATAGAAATTGTAAATACTAAAATTAAAACATCTCTTTTGTCTTGTGACCTATTTTGCGATACCAGCTGTGGATTATTATTTGTCGAGTTT